GGGAGTGAGCGAGCAACGCGCATACCACATCACGTATATTGGATTAATTAACTTGCCAGTGGAAAATCGACGGAAAAGAGTGGAAAGATATAGCTCGCAGCTTATTGCAAGATAAGAGCTGAGTCGAGTACGATGCGAGCTGAGATATATTATGGCCTCGAGTGCAAATTACCCAAGACGGAGCTAAGCATCCGGACAGAGAGAGAGAGAGAGAAAGAATGAAACTCGTTAGTGCGTACAACTTGCGTACACCGAGACTTTTCCAACTTTATAATCTTGCACGCGCGTAGATATAGGTAGATAAAATTTGATTTTCCGACTGCAGCAACGATACTCGTAGGGGTATCCGAACTCGTACATGGACACTGCACATAATACCTACTATAGCGAGCAGTACAGGATAAAGTTTCGCGCGTCTGCGTGAGCCAGCAGTTGCAAACTGTGAAGCTGCAAAAGGCATTTTTGATTTTCAAATTAGTTTCATTGGCTGCAGTCTATTCGTATGTGCCGGTGTGTACTACCACGCACACACTCACCGAATACGTAGAGCAAGTTACGAATCGATCGTTACTCGCTATCTATTAATAAGCCCCTGACTGGCTCAACTTTTCATTGGAAAGCGACGAGCTTCCGCGAGAATAGTATCGAGTCATTAGTTCGCATGGATTTATAAACGCCTACGATGCGTATTTGAAACAACGAGATAAGACAATAAAAATTTGGCCGCGCTTGTTTGTTTTCACGACGTTTCTATATATTCTAGTGCACGAGCTTGCTTACGAGCGTGTAAGTAAACAGCATATACTAAGATAATCCATATTACTGTAACGGAGTCGATAATACACATTTTGCGCGCCGGTCTATTTGCATAGATGCAGTCCGCAACAGTTTGCTGTGTTTTCCCGCGCACGCATAAAAGAGTCGTTAAATTGCAAAACAAAGTTCGCTGAAAATTCATCGCGCGCAATACACGTGAGATTTCGGGAATCACTATGAAAATTCCTCCGTCATCGAAAACAGATGTTCGAATTTTCAAGGGTCAAAGTCGAGTTAATTTCTATACAGCTGCGCTTGTCGCTGCAGCCTCGGAGCTTCTTGATCGTAAATGTATTCCAAATACATTGACTGCAGACATTGCAACTCGGACAAAGTCCTATCGAGAGCGCAGTAGCTTCGTTCAACGGCATACTGGGCAAAAACGGACCCAAACACTCGGTGACGGATGCAAAAGCGAACATGGATTTTCGAATTTCATTAATAAATTAACTCGGAGCAAAGCCGACGCCTCGGTGCGCATCGAGAAACAGTTTGGACATTTTGGCGCTGCGACGTACATGCGAGCAAAAAACCGAATCTAGGCGATTTGGAACAACTATACAGTGGGTTCGATTTGACCGAGCCACTTGTGAATCCGCATGCAAAATATATTATAGATGTACAGTGTATAAAGAGCCTTTGCCACGCCAAGCACTTGTTTTATCGTCGGGATGAATCGATCGAAAAACATCCATTATGCGGCTCGCGTGCGTCATTCAATCCTGAGGATCGTTTTGCGGGCCGACGAAACACGCTCGCAGCCGAAATCGTGCTCAGCGATACTACAAAACGTAAACAATCGCCAATGCGGCCGCCAACGCCACCGCTGCGATGAATCGGTTGGCCGGAGTATTCGCTTGCTTGTACTACTTGAACACTGTATACGGACTGTAGTGTATTGTGCAATACTATGTAAGACGCGTTCGTTCCAATGGCTAATAGATACAAAGCCGCTGGCGTCGTGTCAAGTGTAAGGAATGCAATCAAGTCGTCGTTGAACGTCGGGGAGCTCGCGCCAATCAAGCCCGCCACTCGAACCGGTCTCTATCGACGTGCTGCCAAATGTACACAACATAATAACATAACTTATGTTGGGCTTACAAATGACCATATATTAGATCGGAGCGAGAGAGAGAGAGAGGGAGAAAAAGTTGAAGGACTAAACTCAAAATACCGTTGATTTATTGCTCCAAAGATCGGAAGAAGAAAAAAAGTTTTTCTTCCGATTTGTATGAAATTAAATGGGATTGTGCTAGTACGGGTCAGTGCAACGAACCGGATAGATCATGCCTACCCAGGTGAAAAATATGACAAAAGATCTTAAATAAGTTCCTATACGAGATCACACATATGATTGTACACAAGATCTTGTGCAAGATCTGGCCTACGATAATCGACACAAGATCTTATATAAGTTCTTGTGTCAGATCGTGTGTTAGAACTTATATGCTTTGATATTTCAGAATCCTAATGATTTTCATACCTGACGGAGGAGGTGTACCAAGAATTACTTTAAGATGGTTCATTAAGTAATAAAGTATGGAAATGTATATTAAATAATAACAAATTATCAGATTTTTAATCGAGGAATTATTTTATTTTCAAGTTTCAAAAATGATTACATTTTTAAGTGCGACCTAACATAGATAGGTTTATTATTAAACATTTTCTACATCTAATTGACCAAGAAAACTCTAGGTTTTTTACGAATCAACTTACAGCTGGTTTTCACAAAATACACTTAAAAAACATATTTGATCTGATGATAGTCGAAGATGAAAAATAACCTAAGAACGGGTGTAGCACCTGAAACATGAATTTTATGAAAAATTACCACTTTCTTGGTGAATTCATGTATGTGTATTTATGCATGTATTATATTAGTATTAGAATAATAAGGTTATTTTGTTTATTAACTACATTACAAATCACTTATCTTATAAAGATGCTACAATCCGGCTCTGCTGCGACACTGCTTCTGTTGCAACTGCTTCTGCTGTTTCTTCAATTTTTTCACGAAAATCACTTGCTACGGTCGACGCCACGCAGATGACAGCGTTCTATCTCTGGTCAGTGACCGATAACTACCAAACTATTCACACTAGAATATATATTCTAAACCAGTTAAAAATTGATGTGAAATATATTATTTATATTTGGAAACACTTTTAAGATCGCTGTTATGCTGTTATTGGCGTGAATAATTTGGTAATTGTCGGTTACAAACGAGAGACAGAGCGCTGCTGCGTACGGCGCACGCTAATCTGCGTGGCGTCGACCGTAGCAAGTGATTTTCGTGAAAAAATTGAAGAAACAGCAGAAGCAGTTGCAACAGAAGCAGTGTCGCAGCAGAGCCGGATTGTAGCATCTTTATAAGATAAGTGATTTGTAATGTAGTTAATAAACAAAATAACCTTATTATTCTAATACTAATATAATACATGCATAAATACACATACATGAATTCACCAAGAAAGTGGTAATTTTTCATAAAATTCATGTTTCAGGTGCTACACCCGTTCTTAGGTTATTTTTCATCTTCGACTATCATCAGATCAAATATGTTTTTTAAGTGTATTTTGTGAAAACCAGCTGTAAGTTGATTCGTAAAAAACCTAGAGTTTTCTTGGTCAATTAGATGTAGAAAATGTTTAATAATAAACCTATCTATGTTAGGTCGCACTTAAAAATGTAATCATTTTTGAAACTTGAAAATAAAATAATTCCTCGATTAAAAATCTGATAATTTGTTATTATTTAATATACATTTCCATACTTTATTACTTAATGAACCATCTTAAAGTAATTCTTGGTACACCTCCTCCGTCAGGTATGAAAATTATTAGGATTCTTAAATATTAAAGTATATAAGTTCTAACATACGATCTGACACAAGAACTTATATAAGATCTTGTGTCGATTATCGTAGGCCAGATCTTGCACAAGATCTTGTGTACGATCATATGTGTGATCTCGTATAGGAACTTATTTAAGATCTTTTGTCATATTCTTCACCTGGGTAGGCTGTACATGTGCAGAATTCAAAGCGAAGGGAAACGCCAGTCACGAATTCAGCGTACTGTAGCCTGGCTAGAAGCAAAGATTATATAGTTGAATAATTGGTTCAAGCACATACACGGACGCTCATAATGTGTTTATATATGTGTGGCTGAATACATCTCAAAGCTGCCAGTCAGGCCGTTTTATCGTGGAGTAGCTGAATATTATACGCGAGTCAGATGCTCGTAATACAGTTACGTGTTAAATTCGCTTATATGTGTGTATTGCAGTCGGCCGTTTGAATTTGAGTCGCACCTAGTCGCTGCAGTTTATATAGTGCCAATTCGCCTTCTCCTGTACATAATATAACCCGCCTTTGACTCGGTCGAGCTGGGAAAAGGACAATAATTAGTTGGTGCTATACCAGCCAGTATATATACGGAAGTCGCTTGAGCGACACATTACAACGTACGTATAATGTTCAACACGCCGCAAGCTCGTTTTAAAGTGTCTCTCTCGTCTCTCACGAGCGACTACTGCTACGGACTATATATTATATTGTACTAAAAGCAGAATAGAGAGGGAAACAGTTTTACCGGGGATGCTCTTTCACGCGTTCAGCAAATGATCTCTATAAACACACACACTTTCTTTCTCCCTCTTCCTCTCTCTATCTCTCTCCTTTGCAAGAGCTTATTTTCAAATGAATTTAACGCAAAGATTATTAATTCACACGGAACTGCAGCTTACGCATGAACGGATTCATTAAGAGATCGAAAAAGCTTCGAGCTTTAACAAAACTTTATAGGATATCTATTTTTAGTCGGAAAACAATATATCTATACGTACAGTAGTGCATGCAGATCTCTTGTTATATTGATCTCGAGTATTTGGCGGAAACATCAAAGCAAAGCTCATTGAAGATAAAATACAAAGGAACATCTCCCCCCTACTTTGGTGCGCCTTTATTGTTCTTATAGCAATAATTGTGCGTACAAATAAAATCAATAAGTTTTAATTGAAAAAGCCGAATCAATTTTTGCATACAAACAACTCCATCTTCGCACATTCACGCACACTCGTTCGCTCGTCCAATAATCCATCGAGATACTGTGCCTCCCCCGCGAAACAATTAAATTAACTAATTCCTGTAAATTATATATAATGCAAATGTTAAAACTTACGGCTGGAATCGTACTTGATGCCATTGAATTCAGCGAAACACGACTGCTGGACGAGCGTCCCGGCTTCGCTTCTGGGCCAACACATCAGCGTATCCCAGAAAACTGGACAATAATTGTCGTCGTCGGTCGCCGCATCGACCTGTGACGATTCGTTGGTCGTGGAGTTGACACATGTCTCGGCGGGCTCGCTGGCGTTCATCTTCACGCCTTCAATTGAGCGAGCCCGATAAATATAAGTCCGTTTGGGAAATTCGAGTTTAATAGTCACGGCTTCATTTTCCAACGATTTTTTCAGCCTCGACTCGGTAGCTTTTTTCATAAGTTAATTATGCCGGCGTATAAAGTCGCTTCTTCTGGACTGCTAATTTTGTAATAAGCTTCGGTCGTTTGCTTTACTCTTCCCTACACGTATTTCCTATCCTATATATCCACATAGTCATTCTATTAGAGTTTTAACATAATTATCACATTGTTCCTCTCGGGCACGTGTGTGCGCTCATTGATTACATTTTACACTCTCACAACCACGGACACTGTGACACACGTACGAACACACAAATACACGCACAGAGACGTTCGCGCGCACTGGGCTGTTCCAGGACGTTGAGCACTGCTGCACTGTCGAGCTTTCTGCCTCATTTCCTATTTATACGCCCCAAGTCCTTTTTCATTGGCAAAAATGAGCTTCCTCTTTATATACTCGTTTACGGATAATTTTCCATGGTAATTGTTATTGGAAATTTGCATATACGCTGACGATGTTGGAATCGCCGCTGCAGCCGCTCACGCTTTGATTACATTTATTGTAATTTTGACGTAGAGGATTATTGGCTAATTTTATCTCGAGTCAATTGAGCCTCTCCTCGATCTGAAAAAAGTAACAATAAAATAATATGCACGTGTAATACAGTAATTTGTGAATTAATTTTTTTCATGAATCTTTTCAATATTTAAAAATGATGCAAATTAATTCAACTTTATAAATGTCACTGTTAAGGCAAAAAAGCAAAAGTTTACGTTTTATTATCTTTGGGATTGTAAATTACTCAATTGACGTGAATCATCTAGCAATAATTCACCTGTAGTAACTTTTTTTATCGTTTTTCTTTTTTTGAAATAACACACTATAAGATAACTATCGCTTCACCCCTCGCACAATTTGTTTGACGAAGTTACAAGCTTTCAAGACTTTGTTTTCATTTCAGAAAAGCCATGTTGCACCAACAACTTTGTGGAAGTTTTGTTTGTAGAAAAAAAATAAACAGAAAAAAGGCAAAACTTGGTGTGACATGTACCCACTCGGTCACAGAGAGGCATAGAAACGCTAAACTTGATGGATAGCCCTCGATTCTCTCGATAAATCGTTCAACATCACATTTCCGAAGTTTCGCAGACGTCGCGCGCGCGACATCGTTATTTATTATCTGTATCTTTTTCTCTTTTTACTGGTCACGATGACAAAAAAAGCTCACACGATATACTCGCGACGCTTTGAGGACTCGCTTGCGAGGCGGTTGCTGTTGTAGGTGCGCCGCGCCAAGCGCAACTGAACGCGAATACCGGTCGTGGCGCCGAGGCAGATTCTCGCGACAGAGTGTGAGCGAAAGAGAGAGAGAGAGAGAGAGAGAGAGAACACCTCGGCTCGCAAGCCGTACAGGCAGCGCAAGCCGTGGGCTGCTGTGCACCTGAGATGAACTGCAAGTTGGGAATATAGTGCGCAAAACCGGCACATGCGCGCCTTCATGAAGTCGAGTACTCTCGCATCCACAGGTTGTTGTGCACACTCACTCAAATGCCAAATATATATGTGTATTCATTTATCATCAATCAGAAAAATGTATAATGAATAATGTTTGATTTTCTTCTAATTGATTTTGGCGTATTAATATTATGAACGTATCCTACCGCAAAACTTTAATTTTATTAAAACAATTAAAATACTTTTCATAATTCATCGCTACGACGGTACAGTAGTTGATCCCGATTTTCTTTTTCTCTTTTTTTTCTTTGAACTCTCCGCTCAAGCGATATATCTTGCAGACTCAACAAGAGATTCACTCGTGACACAAGTTTTTAGTTGTGTACACATATATATTTATAGGCAAATAGCTTCTTCTTCCTCTCTCTCTCTCTCTCTCTCTCTCTCTCTCTCTTTCTGCAATTTTGTTTCCGCGAATCGCATCTTGCTCACGCACACAAGTATATTTACGACTCACTGCCGCGTTTCGAGTTGAAATTTTCATTCTGACCCACATTATTATTGTTATTATGATTAGGAATTATTATGATTGTAGCAGTGCTCCAGAGATGCCGCACGCACAGCGTGGTTTGACATTTTTTGGCCTGGCAAACAAGACACGCGACACGATCCGGCTGGCTACAGCTTAGGCCAAATGACAGTGACAAAGCGAGGAACATTATCATCATCGCGCGGCTTGACGAATGCGCGTCGCGCGCTTAGCTCGCGAGTAAACGTGTGGAATATAATTATGTGCCATTTTAAAAGCTCTGGAGAGCGGCTCGCCTCGCTCGCTAAAGCCTTATTTACCTTAGGTAGCTTCGATTCGACGCGCGCTTTGATTCCCTTGTAAAAATATACAAAATAATAATGCGACGTTTCATGCTATTTATTTAACTTTCAAGCTGACGGCGTGAATTCGGTGTTGTTTTTTGCACCTCGTGATTTATTCAAGTAGAATTTTTTACGATTACTCGTGCGTCGCTTTGACGATGCATCGAGAAAGAGAAAAACCGAGTAAAAAATGAAGAGATAACGCGTGGAGCATGTTTGTAAACTAGAGCGATCTGCACACACAGAAGTACACGAGAGCAAAAAAAAATGAACGCTATTTACGTTTTCAGGTGGGTTGCACGAAGGCGCCTCTCCACTCGGCGAAAAAAAAGTACATAAGCTGAACTTGAACTTTTGCGCGTACACGCGCGCTTGTTTTTCGGTCGAGCTTCATATGAGTTTCCCAGTGCTACAACGATGCAAAATAAGTCGAGCTTTGCGTGTTGAGATTTGGGTCGCGTACAGCATAGAGCAGCGTGCGACTTACACTCGATAACGAGTGTAAATATAAAAGTACCATTATAAGCCCGATGGGTGGCCAACGAGATAATTTCGTAGTAATAGTAGCTGTTGCTGCTACTGCGCTGCTGAGTATTTATTCTTGGATAAGCGGCTTGTGGCTTAATAATTTTGTTGATTTCAAAGAAGGATTATCGGGTTTTATTATTTCGTGCTTGGCCACTATGTCGACAAAACATGATCGCTATATTCCGCGCGTGTAAAGACTTTTTGCAAGTGTGTACTTTGAAATATGAATTTATGCGAGTGCGTCCCTCGAAAAACTTTATCCGCGCATGCAGATGTAGCGAGCTAGAGTGGGTTTTATTAATTTGGACTCTGCTCACACGTGTCTAAAATATTACGCGTTTGAGAATTATTTTTTGCCAGTAAGTTAGTATCAAAGCTCATTTTTGGAGTTAATATGACCGAGATTTCAATAAAAATTGTCATGACGCAATTTGTCATTAATTTATTCATTTGACCAAATCCAAACAAGCTGCAAGGATGAAATTCGAATGAAATTACTCGTTTGCTGGGAAATGAATTTTTTAAGCTGATCGAAACTTGGCCATATACCACATTTCAATGATCCGATGTAGGACGCAATTGCATCGTGTGCGGGCACAAACATAACGAGCCACGGACTCGACTGGGTAGCTTCGGGAAAGCCTCCTTAATCCTCGACACGTTCATGCAAGTGCATAGCTAAAAGGAACGTACCATTATGCCGCATATATGTACCCAAGCTGATTCGATATGTACAGCATAAGATGAGTGCGCGCGTTATCTCGCCTAAATGAGTCATCTCATTTCGAGAACCTCAAATCTTTTTATATCCGAATGCAAGTGTGAAAATAATAAAAAATTCACCGGACTCTTTAACTCTTTTTTTTCTTGAGATTGCATTATTATCCGGATCGCCATTATTTCAAAATAATGTCGCGTAAGAAAATCGCTCGAATAACATAAATTTTGATCTCTCCCAGGCCCGCCGCATTCTCTCGAGCTTTGTAATTTTTCAACTACGTAGCATATAATAGCAGGTATAGGTATATATAGATTTGCGCCCGGCAGCTATAAACGGGCGCTAGAGAGAAGGTAACGAGTGCGCGTATAAAGGTTCATTTCTTTGAGAGCTTCGCGTTTATACGCGCACAGAGCGAGATATGTAGCGCGCGCGCGGAAGAAATTCGAGTTTTTGTCTGGGTCGTCGTCGAGACTCGCGAGAAGCGGCAGTGCGCAGGCAGCAACAGCAGGCCCGGGGGGCAATTTTTTCAACGAGTTCAACTCGTAAATAGGCACATTATATATTATAATGCCGCACCCTTACGCGCGTGCGGTTGTATAACAGAATCAGCGGCTCGTTCGATCAACTTCTTTCACACAGCAAAAAAAAAGGCCAATTATGTTATTATACGATCTCTGCGTCAGATTTTATATGCTTCTTAAACTAGATTTCGATGTAAAAAAGCGTAGAATTTACATCGCGAAATTTTTAAAACAGGCAACAGGCAACGTCTGATTTTATTATCACTTAGGCGTTTGCGTTATGTCTTCATAATGCTTGGAAGTGCAGAGGCGGTGTGTAACGCTCATATAGGTACACAAGCAGCCGATGACTTACTTGCACACATACATATTTAAGCGCGATTATTAATTGCCGTCATAAATTTGCCCCCTCGAAAAGTTCGTATCATCGGTTTGCACACTCACACTCGTGTTAAGGTACGTGTGTGATATCGCACGCACACGAACGCGCGACACGAGGAATTATAACGCGTACGCAAGCCCGTTTTATGGCATTTAAAACATCCGCATATATAAGTCTGAATATTATTGCAATTGACGAGCCATGTGTCTTAGAAATAGAGCGAAATTTCGCGTCCCGTTATGTGCGTGCAATTACGCCGCGCCGTTCGTATCACACATGTAGCAGTATAGTTTATATGGCGCACATGTAAACGCGATAAATTTTCACGAAAACGAGGCGGCCGAATTTGCCTACACATTATACATAATACGCGCTTATTTAGATGTAATATTATTGTGCCGATCGATGCCGCACGCGTCGATACTACTATATGCCTCGGGCGTTGAGTTACTCGCGACAAGTTTGTGAAATACTATATTATATATATATATATATGTACTTGAGTTTACAGTACACCCGAAGAGCTGTATAGCATTTCGCTGCATAATACTCGAGACTTGCTATGAGCTCTGCGGCGCTGCTATATAAGCTCATTCAAAGGGCAGAAAGTACGCCTCAAAGGATAACGTAGATTTACTTTATAATATAGCTCGGGCACGTGTATCATAAAGTCAGGTGCGACGTTGATATTATTATATCCAGCCAGTGGAATATCGCGTGCGTCGCTTCGGTATGCGAACGTTTTTACGCGTTAATTGAAGCGATAAGAGCGAACAAGCGACTTTTTAAATGTTTCGGTACGCAGCCCAAAGAAACGCGTTTGAAAATGTAGCGGAGCGCGAAAAAATCATCTAGGAGCGCTGTCAGGCTATCTTGTCAAATTCTACTCTCGCAATACATTTAGCGCGACTGTTTTTTTTTGTTGGAATAGATGGATCGCCATCGATCGTCTACATATACGTGTTGATATACGATATTTTATACGATATTTTTCACGTGCTGCTTTGTAGTATTAAGCACAACTTTTGAGTCGACTATATAAATAAGTCCTTTGTTGATCGAGTCTATAACAGTGATCGGATATAAAATTATCAGGTTGGGCAAGACCGACGTGAGCTTAAAATAAGGCGATTAGCGAAAATTTAATGCGCGCAATTTCGGTGTGAAAATCGGAAAATATCGTCGAGGTGGAGCAATTGAAATTATCTGATCTTTCAAAATTATAAAATGATTTAAAAGCTTAAATGAAGCTTTATTCGCGTCTCAATACTTCTATTGTATACTGTAATCGAGTTTAAAATCGTTGAAATATTCATCACCCACGGTATTACGGTCACATCTGTGAAAGAAAAGTTGCTGTGCTCGATTCCGAAGCAGTAATTTTATTTAAATATTTCATGACACCACAAGTACATCGTATGGAACGCCCCATGAATTTGTAGAGTAGCGGAGAGTTCTTACAATATCTTTACACATTCGTATATTTCTGTCACATGTGCGTTTTAATTGAAAACGTTAATAGTCTTAATATTTCTCTCAAACGAAGAAAGAGAAGAGTACAAAATGAGCAGAAAAACGAACAAGTGTTAACGCGCAGAATCTAAACATTAATAAATATTATTTTTCAACTTTTTTTTCGCCTTTGTTTCAGCCGTTAATAAGATTTTTATTTCACGTTTTTGAAATTGACAAATTTTTTTATATACGTACAAACACAATTTTGTCGCCATAGTCATAATACGAATCATTGTAAATAAGCATTTTTCATTGTACCAACAAAATAGTATTTTCTTTATACCTTGACCGAAAGTAAAATTTCCCTCCGGCTGCGTGGTTGGGAAATTCGACTTTCATGTATGAAGAAAAATCGTATTTACAACAAGGGATAAAGGAGAGACTTTACTTTTACTCCCTTGTTGGATAATATATTATTACCGTTCAAGATATGTCCCAACGAACAACAAATATTTTAGTAGCTGCGCACGAGGAAGCTATGCACTGCGTTGTTGACAATTGAATCCTTACCATTGTGTCGATTTAATGATATGATTCTTCTAATAAAATATAGATAGATACGTCTAAGGCCACTTTATCTTGATACCTCCCTAAAGAAGCACTAGAATCGCTTTATTCTCGATTCACTATATCTTATAATTTTCAAATTTCACAAGATTTCATAAAAAAGGCATATTATTTTGTTTAAAAATATGCATATGCACACTACACCGTGAGCAGGTCCAAGTCAGTCATGATAGCAAAAAATAATTCGATACACAAGTTTTTCTTCACAGTGAGTACATAAGTACGAAACTAGATCAACTATTTTTCTAGGACCCTTTGCGCTCGTCAGAAGTGAAAAAAAGTTATCCCGCGTCATCAAAGTTTGTTTTCCGTTGCCGCCCACACAAGAAGCGAAAAAAAAGAAGACGATTACGCAGCGCATATACATCCACTGCAGATGAGTCTTGCAAGCACATACTTGAAACCATACCAGACAACGATAATGTGCTGCTTCGTATACGATTTTACAACTTTTATAAATTTTTGTATACAGCCCTACGAAGCTTTACCGCAGAGATGGAATGTCAGTCAGAATAAATTTTAAGCATTTGAAATATACAAGATTATTATAATATCTCTAAGGCAATGTTGATAAACGCGTATAAGTGGAGCAGCGCCTCTCGTCAGCTCATAATATAATGTGCAATATATAACAAATTCTTGAAATTTATCATGCTCGCAAATCTTTGATATAGTCACGAATTCATCGTCATCGTTTTATTTCTGCCCTGAAATGCTTCACATACGCGCGCATATATATTAGTGCATTAGATTCGAATGTAATATCCCTCGAATTTAATCGTGCTATTTCTACAATTTTATAAAATTTTGAGCTTATGGTGATTTTAATTTAGCGTACTCTACTGATATCGATTAAATTTCCCCGATTCATTGTCAAGATGAATTGGCTGGACCCTTTTATGAATATTTTTATGTGATTAGCATTACATTTGAAATAAATATAATATTTGCTTTCAAGATATAATTAAAAGTAGTGAGATGTTATGAAGAACATAAAATGTCAAGTCAAATTTGAAATTATAAAAATTTTTAATTTTTTTATTTAGCTACAGTTAATCATCTTTCTAACATAAAATAATTTGTTATACAGTATTCATACTTTAATTTCCATAATGGAATATTGCACTCAAAAGTTTTTTTCTCTAGTTAATTTTTAAAAAAGTTGTTTAAAAGTTCAATAATTAAAAATTACGCACATTTATCTGATGCCACTTAACAGAATTATAAAAGTTAATAGTTAAAATTAATTAATTAATTGGGAGTTGATATATGTTTAGCCGGTTACCTTAACCAATTAACGACCAAAATGCTTGATTTTTTTGTTGGTTTTCGCAGCGATTCTTTGTAGTTTGAGGCCTCCAAAAAGTTTCGTATGGACCTATTTCGATGTAAAATTTAATGTCCTTTCAGAAACTGAGCTCAAAATTTCGATTATTTGCGTAATAAAAAAGTAATGGCTACTTATACGAAAAAAAACTTTTTGCAAAAAATCGAGTTTTTGATTTTTTTTCACCATGTTTCTGTTAGGGAATCACGATATAAATATGATCAAGGGTGATCACGACTATCAAAGTATCTCAGAGAATTGTTATGGAATTTTTGAACTCCTTTTTCAAACTTTGGTTTTTTGCACTTTTTCTTTAAATTCAGTAGTTTTCGAGTAAAAATGAGTTATGTTTTATATGAATATAAGTTATTTTTTGTTTGAAGTAGTGGTTCGAAAATTCCATAAAAATTCCCTGAGATACTTTGATAGTCGTGATCACCCCTGATCATATTCATATCGTGATTCCCTAACGGTAACATGGTGAAAAAAAATCAAAAACTTGTTTTTTGCAAAAAATTTTACGTTTTTTTTTCGTATAAGTAGCCATAACTTGTTTATTACGCAAAGAATCGACATTTTGAGCTCAGTTTCTGAAAGGGCATTAAATTTTACATCGAAATAGATCCATACGAAACTTTTTGAATGCCTCAAATTACAAAAAAAATCACTACGAAAACCAACAAAAAAATCAAGCAGTTTGGTCGTTAATGGGTTAAAACGTATAGCTTTCGTAAGTTATGTGTTGTTAATAATAATATTTGAGTTCACAGAGATAGAGGTCAATTGGAATTAAGGTCTATTATCTAAAATCACTTACATAAATCAAGTATATTGTCGACTAGACCCATTTGCAAGATCATCAAAAACTTGCGTAATATACAAGATCCATAAAAATCTTTTAGTAAGGCTCAAAAACCTCAATCATTTTATTGTTGTTTAATTCTTGTCCATTTAATTCAAGCATGGAACATATATCTTCGTTGCTCATATATTTTAAAATATTATCCAAACATTTATCTGGTACTTCGACGTCCGCCCAACAGAACTTCAGCCAAGACTTTCCTTTATGCAAGAAAAAATCACGAACCAAAAATTTGGCAATATACCTTTCCGTGACATCGCTAAGAAACAAATAATCTTCACAGGTAAAATATTTCAGGAGTGCAATATTTTTTGCCCTTTTCATTATTTTATTGATTTCTTCCATGGCTGAGAAATATTTATACGTTTTTATCCAGTCAATATAAGCTTGTGTATTTTCTATTCTCTCAAGAATTTCGTATGCATCGTTTTTAAACACATCACTCAGTCGCATGATTCCAAGTTGAATGAAAATCAAAGTATAAATATAAGAGTCTCTTGAATATTTATAAAGAGAATCAGCTTCTTCAATCATTTTGGTAAAATAATGATCGAGAGTTTTCAATAAATCTGAAATGAAATATTTTTGTTAGTGCCATTTATTGTTCGTGGAGTGAGAGAAGTTATAATTTTTTTTAAAACAAAGATTCTTTTAGTATGGATGTTATAATCGTTGGATTTTTTTCACCATTTTACTAATTTACTTACTTCAAAACATCATGCGTAACATAAGTTAACACGAAGGAAAAATCGATGTTTTGAAAATTTTAATGTACTTTAAATACTTAACAACTTTACCTACCATTTTCCACAGCGACCGATATTAACTTTCTATACTGCAAATATGCTGAAGAAATACTTTCTTGTATACCACTGATAGCGTCAACCTCATTAAGATTTTTCGATGCATTAAAGTATTTCATAACTTCGATGATGCGTTGCAAGTCAAATTCGAATCCATGTCCCAGCAGAACATCGATAATGTTGAAAAAAACGTGTATGGCTTTCCATGTTGGCTCGTGAACCTTGAAATTACCAAAGATCGGACCACTTAGAAAATGGACACTTCCAAAGTAGGCATTTTTTCCCAAAAGTAGTTTCACCAAATCAAAATTCAAATGATTGACGGCCACCTGCAACGGCGTTTGACCCTGAATATTGATGACGTTAAAATCAATCCCATATTCAATGAGAGCAGTTGCTAGTCTGACACCGATCGGATCATCAAAACATTCGTCGTCCTCCTCCAAAGATTGGCGATACAGATCTCCCGAGCGACAAAGCTCGTGCATAGCGTTTTCATTTTTCGCATTCAAAATGTTCACTTCGGCGCCACTTTTTAACAGAAGTTCAAGAGCACCGACTTGAGCAGGGTGTCTTTTAGTGTTTCCGAGAAGATTAAACAGCGGGGTATTGCCGAACGTATCTTGGGCATTGACTTGACAGCCTTTCTGGATGAGCAATCGAATATAGTCAAATTGGAGCTTACAATCGTAAAACTCGGACATTTGCACACCTTCATTCTTGTAAGTTTGAAAATATTCACTCCTTTGGCCGTAGTCGGAGCAAGTGACGTGCAATGGCGTCTCGTTCATAAGACCACGCGTATCGACTTTTGCCCCTTTTTTCAAGAGTAATTTAACGATATCCGTCTTGTGATGTTGAAGAGCCAAGAACAAAGGAGTTACTTCACACTCGGGCCTCGGATTAATCTTTGGCAACTTTAAACTAACGTTAATATCCATCTTTTGTTTTAACATAAACTTGACGACATCTAAAAGGCCGAGTATGACAGACGCATGTAAATGCGTAAATCCGTATGGATCACTGAAGTTGATGAAGTTGTTGTAGCACTCAAATACCTTGTAGATGAAACAAATTCGATCAAAATTACCGATTTTAGGTAAAATATGAATGGCTGTTTCCTGATCGCCCGGAAGCTTGTCTACAACCAGCTTGGCTCGGCAGATACTATTGATAGTGGCATAGGACAATCCTCTCACAGCGTCGCACAAAATCCTGTTTAGGTTCTCCCCCGTAGACATTTCGTGAATGCGCTCGTCGATCAACGCGTACGGGCCCCTCTTTTCGATGAGCTTCAATTGCTGTCTTAATCTTTCGCGACGATTTTTATCGATCTCTCTTGATACTTTTAGTTTCTTTCGCATTGGCTCCAACATTTCCATGTTGTTTGTTAATCAATTAATCGAATTTTACCAATCACACCAAAATTCTAACATATATATCTCACCACGTGATGCTACAGACTGACTCATTAACTGGACGTACACGTATCGAAATCAAACTTTCCCTTTCCCCCCTCCAAAATAATAGCCGTTGTCCGTTCATCTTCTTACTTTGTTGCTCTTACGGCGATTCGAATTTCGGAGCGCACTTGCGTAGGGTACTATATATATCGCTATACAGCAGCAGCGCCCTGATAATGCTGACGTGTATTTTAAAAACCTTAGAAATAAACAGAACGATGCATTTTAGAAATAATACTAAATTTGACGCTTTTCTCAACGAACGTATGATTTTTATTTCATTTTACCGTTATTGCACTTATTTATTTGTTTTTGAACACTCGATGTGTGACGCATTGTAAAAAAATGTAGTGAAAAATTATTTATAACGACATTATTGCTTTAAATAATTAAAGACATTTTTAATTAAAAAATTTATCGGAATCAGATTTAATTTTCGAATGCATTATATGGAATGAATAAATAATACGTAGGCCAGAACATGATAATTGGAATACTCACTTGTGTGTCACTTGAATTCACGTGGTCAAAGTGTTATTGGTTACTTTTAATTTCCAAAATTTTTTTCCGCAAGATTTTCTTTAAAAAACTTTTCAACATTTTTTCAAATTATTCATTATATTTTATATATGACATTAAAAGAACAAGTTCAATTTTCAGAAATAACCTTCTAAAATTTGAAACGGAAATTTGAAGTCTCAAAATCAAGGTCGAATGCATGCTCGAACACAATGTGCAAAGGCAGTCAAAAACTTTAACCATATTTTGCTCCGAGTTGTTATATATGAGCGTTGTGCTCTTTACAAAAATACTCGTTGCATCGAGATTGTTTTTTTTGTTTTGTTTTAAAGCGAAAACTCATGGTTTCTAACCTCAAATCATTATGAAAACCTCGTTGCACACACGGAAAGTCGAGAATATGGTATGCATCTAGTATCCAAGGAAGATGATTTATAGAGAAGTCTTTTCCGTTACAATTGGGTACAAACGAGTCCCGTGTAAGTCATCTACTTCACACACTTGTTACATAATATACTATTTTCGGATCTTGAATATCACAATCTTTCATCACTTTTCATATGATTATGACTAGCCATTTAATGGGATAGAAAAAAACGTAAAAATTTTATTGGAATAAGTCCTCTGAAATTGAACTTTTTATTATCTTCTTGAGATTCTTGAAATTGGTTCAAGAGCCAGTAAACGTTATCTATCCAAGGTGCTACCGGACCTCTTGATAGATGTAAAAAAAATGTCAATGCATGATTTCAGATGATTATACGAAATGCTATTTTGTTGTACTTCATAAACCATAAACAAAGCATTGTCTTGTGAATATTTGTTAAAGTACTTAAATATGTAATTGATTACATAATTAAATACATTATTATTTATTTCCCACCACGTAACGAATATTCGAGAACATGGAATTATTTTTGGGACTTTGAATGAGAACCTCCACTGCAGGCAAAGTTATGAGATAATATATGATAACCTTTTCTAAGAGATAAATCTTTTCATTAATGAGTCCAGAATAGTAGTGAGACATATCGACGCTGTTTATGAAAACTAACTAGCACTTGTCCATTTAAATGAGCATAGAAAAGTTGCAGGTTTTCGTAAGCAGCGTAGCTGTATAAAGACTGGGACAAATCAAGTCTCGGCGTTCGCAATTTTTTTCGGTGTAAGTATAGTGACAGTTGAAATTAATTAGGTCTCAGCCACATTTCTGTCCCACGGACGTAACGCAGTAACTTGGTTGCACTTGCAGCAAGCGGCATGCGGTTACGCTTGTTCATTTCCAAGAGCCTCGAGACAGCCGGGGACTGTCTAGGAGCCCATCGCGTAAAAGGAGTGGCTATCATGAACACGCATACGACTAAAGACACGTGCAAGCTATACAGTCTCATTTTCCGATATTCACAACATTAAAACGTGAAAAACTATTTAATTACATGTAGCCTTCATATATTTATTCAAGTTCAAATAATAATTTTGGTTTTCGAACTCAGTAAAAGTATCCCCTTTGAAAGAAAAAAAATGTCCGTGAAATCAAAGAATGGTGTGGGTGCAGCGTCAGAACATAAAACGTCGAGTTTTCGCGATTATAAATCTCGTATGATATGCATAATTGAAATAAAATCGTTATTAAGATTAATTACAGCCAGGTGTGCGAGTACAGCATACTTGGACTACGTGAATGTGTAAATTCTCCTTAAAACCTTCTCTTGAAAATGTCATAAGTAGTTTCGGGTTGGCAATTTTTTTAGATTGTAATTGGACCTTGTAAGTTTTTCAGTTAATCGTGCAGCGAGAAAAAAAATTTAAACTTTTTATTTACATTTTGAATTTAATTATATCATAATGTTTTTAAACTAATTTAAAATAATTATATTTTAGTAAGATTTAATTTTTCTTTAATTATTGATAATAAATCTAAGTAACTAGCCTTTATTCTAAGGTTCTACTCAAGTTTATAAAAAATGTTTTGTTACGTGCATTTAAAAAATAACATATTAGTATTAATTTTACGCAATGAGTTGTAAATTCATTCATTCTTAAAACTGTCATAAACTGTTGAACTACGAGCAAGTTTGAGTCGCGCGAAGCACGTTAAATGGGACCAGTGCTATGTAATATGTGAAGTACGTGTGTATATTCCGCTAGATAATAAAATACCATTACCACGTGGCATCGTAAACTTTCCCTCGTCTAATTATCTCGCTTCCGAAATACGCCTACCTATACGACACAGCTGGTGTACCCTAAACGAAAGCGAGGCGCCGCCTGTAACGTGATTTAAACGAGCGATCAATTTTTTAATGAAATTTAAATGTTCGTCTCGGCTTTACCTCGGTTGATAATTTATATGCGATCTGAGACATTCTTTTTTACCTCCTTTAGCCCTTTTTCTACTATTTGTATTTTACATTCAATTGGCAATCGTTACATCCAATCATTTCAATTTCAAAATATAATACACTATCATTTATTGTATAATTATCTTTGAAAATCTTTACAAAGCAATGCCTTTGCTAACATGTTTTCTAAAAAGTTTTATTATTCATTTTTCCTCTCAAAATAAAAATCATGAGATGGCCACATTTTAACTGCCCCGTTAGACGCATCAACTTCCGCGCACAAAGCATGAGAATGGCCCAAGTTGTAATTCAGTCGCACCAAGTAAACACGTTTGCAACCAGCAGCTGACAATTCACAAAGATGGGAAACAACCACGTGGAACATAAATGGCTGCTCACATAAATAGCGTCGTCGTTTAATAATCTTCAACTGTAGTACGAGGCGATAATTCGAATCGTTTTTTTTTTTTTGGGNTTGGGGGGGGGGGGGGAGGGAAACAAATTTACACTCTCGTTTATTGTTTTTTTCTACATTCGTCGTCCTTATACATGCCTGTATAAAAATAAGAAAACTTGCTTATCTGATACTTCTGTTTGTAGAAGTTCGAGTATTCTACGATTATAAGTTCTCTTATTGTTTCTTAACGACTCGTTTAAACGGATCGCTTTCTTCGTGCGCTTTTTATTACCTGAAAAAAAGGCAGACTTTCTTGTCAACTTATTGTATTTTTTAGACTCTTATTTATTTAAAGTTTTCAGGGATTTTTTTCAGGAATAGTTCTCCAATTTCGAACCCCATTTATAACTTAAGGGTTTCCTTTTCACTTTGTTTTATTGTAAATACAAAGTATAGTCTTTTTCACTATGTTACGGAATTAAATTGCATCATCTTACAGAAATTATTTAGTTTTTTCTCTTTACTATTGTAGGGCTTCAAGATTGAATCACAAAGAGTTTTTTTACATTCATTACTTTATGAAAAGGAAAAGCCAAATAATTGAAGTAAAAAATGAGTTCACGTTGTCACGAGTCAACCAAATGGACAGACTTTATCGAAAATTCGTTTTATACAGAATACAATTAATATACAATATGATATATTACTAAAACTCGCATGTACATGCAAGTACGATAAAAATGGAATTTTTTCCATTACTTTTATAAGACGATAAATAACAATAAAAAAGAAGAAAAAAAAATGAAAGCACGAAGCGAGTGTCGAGATAAGAAGCATAAGCGTACCATAATTTTCGTGTTTGTTTAAGCGAGTATATTATAGGACGGTAGGAAAGGACGTGACAATTGATAGTTATTTACACGGCTGATGAAAAATGCAGCAGTAGCTCGAAGAGCAGCTGCAAGGATATCGCGCGCCAAACGTACCGTAGCTGAAAATTCAGCCGCGAAGAGCACTCGAGCGTCTCTTTGCAGCGAGATTCGAGTACATCGTGAAGAACTCACACTCTAGGTATATATTATAAGGCATAAGCGCGCAGTATAAGTCGAGTGTGGGTGATAAGCCGAAACGATTTACGAAGAGCGCGAAGATAAACGATCATCCTCGGGATAGAGCGCAAATTCGCTCGGATGTTAAGTGGAGGCTGCGCGTCAAAACAGCGACGAGCGAGCTAAATAATACTCGGGATCGTTTTATTATTCGGAAGCTGTCGGGTTTTCACTGCAGCCCATACGCCGCTGTACGCATCCACACGCATGCATGCGTGACAATCGAAAGCTCAAACGGTCAAGAGATGTACGAGCGGGAAAAGCACTGTTTCCAAAAAAACAAATCCCAAAATGCAGAGAAAAATAGGGGAGAAAGCGTGGAAAATTCGAATGGATACACCTACCCTGGTTGACAATTCGATCGCGTTCACGAGTCGTTGGTACGTAAAGCGGCTTCACGGCTCGATGTCATTTGCGATCGGCGCGTTGCATCACGTGAGCTTGCGAGCCGCTGTCGCATCCGCGTTGACCGGAAACTCTAAATTTCGTCGCATCTTCGTGCGGACCGTCTGTGCGTGCATATACAAATGCCACCGAGGCGTGCTGTTTGGCACTAAATAAAAAGCTTTTAAATTCCAGGCTCACGGCGGAGTCATCGTATTTTTGATGCGCACACAACGGAACGAGTAAAAGTGCGCGACTCGAGCCGGCGTCGTCGACTCTCAAACGACTGGCGAGACTGTGTCGAGCGAATCTTCGGGCACACACGACTTGTTATTATGGCATGCATATTATATGCGTGTTAAAAGCAGATTATTAACTGTACATGCAACGCGCGTACGTGTGGGTACGTGTGGATGTACGCGATACGTGCCGAGAGAGTACGTGTGTAGTCGCTGCCTGTTATACCTACGACGTAGCGCGAGCTTTTGCCGTCTCTATCCCTTCTCAAGCTCGCTCCGCTTGTTTGCTTTTCAAGTGTACGATCGCGATGCTCGAATATCTTTATCTGTCGCAGAGAGCTCGCGCGCACGTCAACGTTCGCCAATTATATGCGAGGCTCGGATGAATGAAAAGAGATTTTTGACCTCGCTTTATTATATATTTTGACGCGCTTTCGATGCTTCTTGTATTTTTCTTTTCGCAGCCCATTGATAAAGCAGCCAGATACGGCTACTTTTGACATGTTTACGTATGCACCGTCTTACCGAATGTATTACATTTATCATATGCTCCGTGTCTAATTGTGCGTAACGCATCGACTACCAATAAACATCAATATGTAAACACGATAGGACATAATGTATTCTTTGCCGCGCTAAACTCACGCGATAGCGACCGCGTCAATGAGAGAGGAATGTTCAGAGCTTTCGATTGTGATTGCGCTGGTAAAACCGAGCACGTTCTTTCGCTTACGTTACATTTTTTTCATTGTGTAAATGAAAAATCAGCGAATCGATCGACGATCAGCGAGATTGGGACAGTCTTATTTGTTGTTATTTACATTATTTTAAAAAATGCCGAATTAATAGATTTACGATTGGATGTTTGAGGAGGAGCCTACCTCAATTTTCGTGTTCTTGCAGAGACTTATGACTCGCTCGGCAGCCAATACGACGCATGAATGCAAAGGTGAAAAATAAGTCAGTACTGATATTTTATGAAAAGGTCTATTAAATTTATTTTGCCATAATATATAAATATTTTTAAGTCCATTTATATAAATATTGTGCCGAAATGTATTCATTAAAAACGATTGTTAATATATACTTGCAACCAATTTTAGATATAATTTTTAAATATTATACATCCATAACATGCGTAATTAAATAATAGAGCGATACAATTTACAAACTTTTTCTTTAATGCAATACTCTAGATATTTTATTTACTCATTTATTCTCGTCTTTGAGCCTCGAGTTTTTTTTTGAGAGGACGAGAAAGTATTTAGTAACTAATTAACATCATATTCTTAAGGAAACATAAATCTTCGTGAAACTCTCATTAACCAACAGTCAATGAACTGTATCATTGCCCGCACACACACATACACACACTTTCATACAGCTCATTTTCTTGTTTTTTTTTTAAAGCACTTGTACATACTCACATACTTATAGTAATTTACATGCATGTAATTGGCAGAAAGAAGGAAATTACTGTGTGTTTACACTTTTCGTGAAAGATAAACGTGATAATTTAATAATGTGATGCACACTTCGGAACTTATACCGTCAATTTAGACGACGGAAAATGTATTAAACTGATTTTTACATTTTTTGCAACAAATAAATGTTTATGAGGCAGTAACAAGTTCAATGATTGATTCAATATTAACTTGATTAAAAAATGCGATCTCGGTTATGCAGCTTTTAGGAAAAATATTTTCAAGTGTAGATTACACTTCGATGATAATAGAGTTCAAATTTAATTTGAAGTTTTTCAAGATGCAAAATTTATTGTCTACGTCATTCTAAATTTGAAAAAGCTAATACTATATAAAATGACTGAATACATTTGCAAATTTTTAATTCATTTCCAAAGTTATCAAAGTTAACCTTGTTATAATAAATGTCGAATTTCTAAATTCTTATGCATATCATAAATTACTCTTTCAAGTTGTATTAAAAAACACACGTACTTTTCATTGTTGAAAATCAACTCATTACAAATCAGTTATTAATAATCAGCGAATAATCAAGCGTTTCAACTTTATACACACAGTAAAATGTTTATGTGAATCGTATGTTTGTAAGCTTGGATTTATTTTCATCTTATAAAAATATATACGTACGTATACAGCATTTATTTATGCATTTATTCTATTTGAAAATAGTCAACCAATTAAGTTTGTAAGTATTATAAACCTATGACTTTTTATGTTCTATGTATAAATAAAACAAATAATTTACATTTTTATATATCTACAACATTGTAACTTATAGAATTAATAGACAAATGTATGCACTGAATCAAAATAAATACAATTATCTTCATAATTATAAAATTTTCATTAATAAATAAATTAGATTCTTTTGAAACTGATTTTGCAAAGATGATCTGCCTATTAACTCCCTCATTCGTCCATTACCCACTTCAATCTTGCATCTACATTTATACGTTTTCCCCCTCGTAATTTTAATTATTGTATAATTGATAAGCTAACACTTAACTTGTCGTTCGAACATGCGCTATACTTTCTCAAGCCAGTCTTTTAAGATATTTGTAACCAATAATTAAGATTCAATTATCTATATCGTATTTACGATTTATGACGATGGAAGAACTCTATTAAAATTGCACACGACTTCGGTTTTACTTTGTTTGTTTTTACGTATTAATAAACCGTAAAAATTCTTCAGCAAAGTCTGCGTAAATATAAGAATTTCATAGTTTAAAACGAGTCTTTCAAAACTACTGCGTCCATTACTATTGGCGTAGAAATTTGCAATTTTATGCATTACTGTCGAAGCTATATTCTCCACAGTACTCGGAGTGAACAGCTTTTTTTTGGCGCATCTAGAAAATAAGGCCGACTTGATGAACTATCATCGTCGTCGCCGCCGTTGAAACGCGTATTATTTACTTTTTATTTGCAACTACTGTACAGGTAACGTAATACCGTACCGATTTGTTCTCGGTACCGACGCTCAATCCGGTCGAATGAGTCGATTGCCCGATCCTCGCTCCTCGTCAATTTCGCACGATGTTTCAGATTCTGACGTGGCTTCTGTAACAAGTTCGAAATAATAATGAATACAAATTGCATCATTTAAATTGATAAACTAAGTTCATAAAGGCACTTTTCAGGCAAGAAGTAGTAAAATGACCCAAAAGATGGACAAAGTATAGTTTCTGCTATCGTATTATCTACGATACTTTTGAAACATGGACAGTATAAATGTTATGTTTACCTACATTAATATAGGTCGATAAGTGCATACGTTTTTAATGTACATAGATCCCACGACAAATATACTGAAAATAACAGTTGTCTACAAAGTATATCGTAATTATATTTTACGGCATCCATTAGACCCGTACAACAAGAGTATTATTTTCATATGAAATATGGGTTTTAGACATTTTTACAACATAAAAACAGACATTAATGATGCTCGAGTTAAACACCTCCACATTTCTTAATTTACAATATAAATATCATTTGTTCCTTTGTAACCCAAGCCGATTCATAATAATAATAGTTACCAACACACAACTACTGGATGTGTATTTGTCTATTTATCGGTATGGTAATCGTTTATGTTCAGATTCTCCACAGAAATCTAATTATTATTTTTAATTGTAATTTTTTTCTTACTTATAATATAAACAATTAAAGCATGAATGAATATAACTCTGTGATTCTCTCGCCATTAATTGTATATACAATATATATGATGGATCTTCGGGTCGCAGCAAACACACGAATGAGCATATATATGTATTAAAATGGCAGTGGGTAGCTAAGAGCAATATGAGATGAGCATGTTTATGTTCATTCAAGTATGTTTGTAATAGCGTGAGAATGAGTAACCACATGTAATCCAAAGTGAATGGCATGCAGCTGCCCGCGAGCGCTCAGAATTGAGAAATGTATCTATGAAAAATGCGCCAGTCATCGTATCACCAAGTATGGATGTTTTCATACGAACTCGAATCCATATTCGAGTCAAATATCATTTCACTAATTAAAAAAAAATCGTGTACGTAATAATTTGTCCAGAAGCTTCCCCAAAAGCTATTATAATGCACATGCATCGGCGAGCAAAGTGTACAATTATCCTCGTACGTTTTCCGTAGAAATCGAGTTGTGCATGCATGTATGACGCAAAAAAGTGAATACGAAAAAAACACCGATAATTGTACACGCTCGTATGTAATTGCTCGAAATTCATTGTGCATAATGCAATGCTCAATGTGATTAAAAGATCTGTTCAAGCGCGAGGGAAGCTAAAAAGAGTCCATATTTCCATTAAATTTCCTTTGAACCTGTAAAGTTATACATCGAGGAAAGTAGAGATTAATAAAAGCCAAAAAAAGGATTAGTTTAGGAAAGTTCACTGATGCAATTTTGAGAATATATTTGCTATAAAATATTTGTTGCTTTATGTAAAGGGTTGAAGAATCAATGAATTTTTTTCATCATGAAGTGTCGATAGCCATGTAGAGATAATCAATTTAATATCGCTGTCGATAGGTCAACATCTATTTTTCTCTCTATCGTGACATTTCAAAATTTCGAAATTCAAGCATATATTTTATCAAATATCGATAAAATTACTCAACTTACATCATCTTATCTACTACTTGAAAAAAAACTACTTGGAAAAAACTATTATTTACTAGAATAATAATAACTGTTATTTTCTTTTTTTGCAGCATAAATTAAGTTGATTGTCTCGAGCTATCGAAAAACGTGACCATTCAATGAAACGAGCAAATTGCCAAGGATCATTTACATAGCGTTCAATGTTCATTGTACATTTTTTGGACAATAGACTCTTTACTAAGAATCATTAATCGCACGCATTCGGTGAAAGTTCGATCGTCTACGAACCTCCGAGATTTGTATTATAACGACCCAATCTGACGTTTTCACGAACGGTCACGTCTCATTTCATGAAAAAAAAGTAAAGAAAAAGAAGGAAGTACATATTATCGAGAATTACGTTGAGCACGTATTCATCTTATTAATGGAAGAGGATAACAATTAACGAATTTGCAAAAATAAATAGAAAAAATGAGGGAATTAAATAAAAAATGTTTTAGGTACCATTACTTATAACGTATGTACAGCAATATCACTATTTTTTTTTCTCTCTCTCTCCGATTACGCAGCAAGTCTTGGTTTATTAATTTTTTTTATAAACGCGTCGACTCAGCCAGGCCATTTTTTCTAGTATCTAGAATATTTTCTGCAAGAAATAATAGATGGAAAAATATAAGATTTTGTTTCAATCAAAATCATTGTGGAAATTATTTATCAAGACTGAATGATGCGCTCTTAGAGCTTTGTATATGATAGAAACAGAGTTGCGATATCGCATGCTTGTGATCTATTTGTAAATTAACCATTTATCCGCTATGTACCTGAATTAGTGGCTTGTGGCTTGAATTATATCGCTTACTCATTTGCTGATTATGTTTTGATAGCAAAGTAGTGTTAACTGTTAATTGAGTGAAACAAGAGTGAGTCATAATTATATTAGGTAGATGATCTAGTTTTGGTAATTGAATATTACGATTAAAATTTAAAATCAGAATCACCGAATGACCTAAAATTGATCTTGAAAAGTTCTCAAAGAGTGTTTAGTATAATTTGATCTAATCACACCCAACATACCTTGTACCAGATATATTTTATCGTTGATAAATAAATGTAAAATTTGTGTATTATTGCAAAAACCCAATTCATAATCGCCTTGGCTTGGAAGCTTTTAATTTTTAATTCATCTAGTTTTAAAACATCTGATTCTTTCTATGCGAAATTATTTTGAAATAATTTATTTATTTTTTTATTTATTTTTTTTTCTTTCATCAATAATGTTCAAATAAATATGAAACTACAGTCAAGTGTAACGTATTAGTTACATTCAATTTGCATGATCTGCTTTTTTATCTCTGAATTTTTACTTGCTAAAGACTACGCACGTGTGTGCCTATGAACTTGAATTTAAACTTAGCATATATTACTTTAGCTAGCGTGGGACGGAAAATAATACTATGAATGGCATTTCTGTCACATGCCATGCCTACAGCTCTTTTAACTCGCATAAACTGAAACTTCAATCAAATTTGCCGATTTCCTGAGATTTTGGCGACTTATGCGTGAATAAGCATAAATTAAAAACGTCCAATTGGTAGAATATTAAATCTTTCCAAGTCATTTCATTCAAACGAGTGCATAATAAATATGTTAAAGTCAGTGTGATTTGTGTTTTTTATGTTTAAAAATATATACAATATTCGATTGAAGTTTATTGAGTGAAAAAAAAAATTAAAGAATTTCTTACCTTTAATGATAAGATCGACTCGATCTTTGTCTTTCTTAATATATAGAGCAGTGAGGAAAAAGAATAAACTACCCAGAACTTCGACGAAAATTGTGAGAAAAAGTGCGTATTGCAAACTTCGGAACGCCGCTTCTGGATCTTCGTCTGAATCGGTAGGCGTAACAGTTGTCGAAGAATTGGAAGCTATGGTCATACCAGCTGTCAGAGTGGGCAGCAGTGCGTGTTTCAAAGCATCGGAAATCTAAAAATTGAAAGGAATAAATAATTAACATCCTAGAAGTCGAATTTTTTTAGCCGATGGTACGACTTTTTGATCTAATCATTATCATATACATAGCAATTTTTTGAAATAGAAAAAAGTAAAAAGGCTTGTGAGCAGCGCCATAAATTTATGCCTTATTAACTTTTAAGGTGATGCACACTCACTATCCATTCTCAAGCGGTAGTGGACAGTCTTCCTATTATGGTCACATACACAGTACACACACACACACACACACACAAGTCCATCTACTCAAAAGCAAAACAATGAAAAGTTAAAAGTATAAAATATTAATACTTACAACACCTATCAAATAAGGACTACCAGCGTCACCGAAAGCGTGGGCAAATAGAATTTGAAACGCCTCGGCGGTCGATCTTCGCGTGGGCAGAACAACGTACTGTCGAAAAAAATTGATACCATTAAATCCTTTTTCTTTTTTCCTTTTAATTTTTCATGACTTACCAACAGCATGTCGGCGACGATCGACCAATTGAGATTGAGAGCTAATTGTCCGAAAAATATAAATGTATAGCAAGCTATGGTGTTGGAGCGAGCAAAAATTGCACCGAAAAATATGAGCGGAGCGCTAATGAGCAGGCCGGCGGCGCAAATAAGTGGATCAGCTTGCTGCCAACGAATTCTAAGCTTTTGTGCTAATAACGAGCCAAACGGTACTCCAAGTAAGCCGGCGATCATCGCAGTGACGCCAAATTTATAAGACACTCTGAAATTACACGGAATACATGCCGGTAATTAAAATAGGTGTCGAGTGAAAAATATATGAATAGAAAAATATATGAGAAAAATTACTCGTCTAGAGAAACGTCATTTTGGTCACCATGCAATTTTAGCCCATTTTGAATAAATACAGGTCCCCAGAATGCAAGAGCACCGGTCACGAACGATACACAAGTAAAGCCAGCCGTGGAAAGCATAAAACTTCGGCTGAGAAACAAATAAAATTAATAAAGATATATTTCATCATGTAAATAAGCAAAAAATAGAATTTAAATCTTTTTCTTACTTTATCATCAAAGCTTTGATATCAATGGACCAATTAGATTCAGACATATGAGATCCTCCTTCTCTTTCACCTCTAATGGGATCGCGTACTAGAGTCAAAATGAATATGATGGCAAAAATGCCTAAAACTGGTGTAATTCTCAAACCATACTGCCACTGACCAGTGATTCTTGCAGTTTCTCCACCAGTTATATAACCTAAACCGCTATTAAGTGAAGTATTTGATAAATAAAATAATTTGATCAATGAGTACTTGATTCATAAAAGATTTAATTTGGTTAAGTAATTGAAAATTATACATACCTTCCAACAGGAATGGCAAAATAAAATAATGCCAGCATTTTCGAACGCACATCTTTGATGAAAAGATCACTAATTATTGTTGGAGCAATTGTCGAATAACTTGCTTCTCCAATCCCAACGAGTGCTCGGAAAAATAGGAACCATCCATAAGACTATAATGAAAAGTAAATATGTTTAAGATTCAATTTATAAAATATTTCATTTTAGGATCAATGCAAAATGGATGTACCTCCATAAATGAGCCAACAAATGTAGTTAAGCACCATAAAAATACACCTGCTGCCATAAGTATTTTTCTATTATATCGATCACCAAGATAGCCAAATAATGGAGCAAAAACCATATAACTAATAATAAATGCTGTTTGAAGTAAACCAGATTTACTATTATCTATTTTTAAATCACTTTGAATAGATCTAAGAACACCTGAAAAAATTATTAATATTAAAAGATGATGTATGAAATCAGAACTACTAATGAATTGGTTAAAATTTAATAGTTACTATGAAATATACAAATATTTAATTTGCAATAAAATCCACCAACTTCAATTTCATTAATTTTGCCTTATGAATAAATTATGAATGTAAGATATATTATTATACTATATAAATGTAAATTTTTATTCTAACTTAAACTTTTTAATACTCATGAATCTTTGATAAGTTTATGCATCATTTTAATTTAATTTTATTGAACTGCGTTTAATATTTCATAGTAATTTAATATTTAAAAAACTTTTCTCAAATTACACAAAATACTTTTAAAAAACATTTGAGTGTCTTAAATTCTTGCTTTTTTTATTTGTAAATTCATTGATGAGTCATTTAAATCTGTCTTGAACAAATACTTGATTCACAGTACTCGCTGTAGTTGATGATTAACATGCAGTTGGATTTTTTAAATTATTGCATGGAAGTTTTACGTTGACTTCGTTAGTATAGTTCATGATAGTTTAATAAATGAAAAAATGATTTTAATATGCATCATTTGAAACAAATTTTTTAATTTCAATTTTCATTACTTGGTTTCAATTATAAAGAAGTGCTTTCAAACAATTAAAAAATAAATTTTTTTCATAAATCTTTTAGTCAAAATGGTAAACACAATATAGCTTGCAGTTTGTCTAAATCTAACAATCACTCTCTGTGCAAGAACTTTTGTGTCCCTTGGGGCACTTGAAATTTGCACTTCCTCATTGAAGCTTGTAACATGACAATTGCATGAATCGCTACACAAACAATGCCAAATATTCATAAACCAATGCGTAAACACTACTAATACAAGAGAATACTGGCATAAAATGGACAAAAAAGAGCTCAACAGTTTGTACATCAACAGGGATGAAAAAAGAAAAGAATATAAAAACTAGCATGAAGAGATAGTTAAACTGTGACCCACCAGCTATGGTAAATCTATCCATGTAATTGATGAGATTAACAAAGCAGAGCACAAACACGGCTACCCACTCGCTGGTTTTGACAGATTTCAAGGAGGATCCATCAGTGTTATCGGCCGCACTCGGCCGAAGTTTATCCTTGCCATTGGACTGGGACGCATAGCTATTGACGGATGTATCGAGAGACGAACTGGTGGTCGAATTGGCCATCTGGTTGGCATCGTTGTCCATGAGATACTGCTGGGACACATTAGCCGGTATCCTAGCTGGCTCTGCCATGGTCGTCTGCTGCTTGTACGACTCTGTACTCGATGTTTGTGTCCTCTTGACTATGCCAGTTTGTGTATACACAACAGTACGCACAACATACGTTATATGTATAATATCTATCTATATATATATTAAAAGTCAGAACGGAGTAGAGAGCGCCTGACGATATACGAAGGTTCAAGCACGCATGACAACGAGACCGCGCGAGGACAAACAACACACATGAGACATGATCGACATCGGAGCAGCAAGGCGCGCGCGTCTCGAGCACGACTGACTTCGGTCGTCTCGCTAAATAGGGTAGAGAGCTATAAGGCACACGGCACTGGAAGTCTCTCCGGCTGCGATGCCTCGTATTGCCGAGACCGTCGAGAGAGTGAGAGACGCGCGGAGTCGCAGTGGGGCGACCGGTCGGTCGACTGGGGCAGTCGAGCGCAACTCGGCACAAGTGCATACGCTAGCAAAAGACAAGGAGGACGCGATGCGCAGCGATATATCGCGCGAAAGCGTCTGCTCGCTGCCGACTGCAAAGAGAGAGAGAGAGAAGGAGAGAGTCAGGCAAAGTCACGCCACCCGTGGCTCGGCGAACCAGCGGCCAAGGCGGCTTTTTATACCGTTTTATAAACCTGTGCAAATATAGGATACACTATATATTTCCGTGCGAGCGCGAACGCGTGACTCGCCTCGGTGTGTAGTGCAACGCAACGCATATATACCTACACGCGTGGGGAAGGCGCAGAGCGCCGAACAGGTATTGCACGCGCTATATGCAGAATTCGCAACGTGTTTGCTACGTATCTGCCGGTCAGCGGACTCTGCGAGCGGCTATATATATTTTTACCGGCAAATTCCAAGAGCAGCTGCAGAGGCGCGTCCCAAGCCTTTTTGCCATCGAGACGAATCGATTTATATTCTGAAAATGAATCGCCTATTCGGGGGGGTTCGCTGCTCCAACTCTTTATTCAATTTCACGTTTCCTTGGCCTAGAACCGAGTACGATTTGCGACGCTAAAATCGCAGCAGCAAAAGCATCGGTCTAGCAGCAAGACTGGTGCAATTAACTTTTAGTTACGTAACTATCACAGCGACCATTAAAAAACGAGCGATCAACAAATACCGAGCTCAAATTTAGAATATATAATGGAGGTATTATTAGTCGCTCATGGTATGTACATGTCAGTTGTGGTGCTTCCGTACGCGTGCTTGATCGCACCTCTAAATAATACACACGATATTAATCGATCGTCGAATTGCGTACATCATGGATGTGACGTATAGCGCGTCTCTCGCTTCAGCTGCCAATGTTGGCAGACTCTGTATTACTTACTTTTTTCACACGTAGTGCGTGGCCGAATATAATAATAATCGACCTCAGTCGCAATAAATCAACGGCAGCGGTTCGAAGGCGCACGACAAAATCGTAAAACAAGCGATCACTTAAATTGACGCCTGTGCTGTGTCGGTTCGATTATCGGAACGTTCAGGTAATCGCAATGAATGAGCTTGTAAACGCTCGCACACGATATTTCTGAATTTTTCGTCGGGCGCGCCTTATGTAGATTTATGAGACTCGTTGTTTTTATTTTATTAACATTAAACGCGTTGACAGCGGTAGCATCGAAAGACAAGAGAGAGAGAGAGAGAGAGAGAGAGAGGAATTACGCACACGTTTGCGTACTTTGACCCCTGTCGCATTTCGCATAAATGGGCATGCAGTGGAGTGGTGCAGAGTTGCCGATGATGCCGAGAGTCGCTGTGCATCAATGTGACACATGCAGAGAGGCATTCTTCGAGGGAAAGAGAGGCGAGCTCTGCGGTGTATCATTGTGTACATTACGCGTACGAGCATCGGCCAGTGCTAATGCCTGTATCGTGTTCGCATATTTTAATGAATTATAATGCGCGTTTGATTACTAGCTATATATTGTACGCATGTCCTACGCACGTAGACGCATTTTTTTGTCGTCGCCTCGTCTGCGGGTACGCGTATTATCATTGTTGTTATTGTAGCCCGTAGAGAGAGAGAAGCGACGCAGACACATAGCTTTCTTACAATCATCCAATATGATTACATATCCGTTGAAATATACATAACTCGGAGCGACGGCTCTGGCGGTACCCAACATTGTTATTCTATCCTATATATATGCGGGCGCAAAAGATGCATACTTACTCGAGAGAGAGAGAGAGAGAGAGAGAGAGAGAGAGAGAGAGAGAGAGAGAGAGAGAGAGAGAGAGACGACGCGCAATATGTTACAAGTGGCTTTTTAGCACTTGCTCCGCCACATTATACGGACCATGTATATTATTATCTCGGGTTCGAGTACCGACGTTGTATTGCATTAGGCGATAAAAAAACGTGTTACTTCCCATCGATACGATTGACGACGACGCGGCGGCGGGCCACCGTAATTATATATTTGACACGACGAAGCCATGGATGCCTATACCTATTGTATTTCATTTTGTGTGACTGCGCGCGAAAAAAATAACTCGTTACGATTGTAATACAAAAGATATCGGACGACAGGTGTGCGCGCAGGGGCCAATCGATTATCGGCTTTTATATTTCAGCTCTTTGCGCTGTATAATGTCACATACCTATACGGTACGTAGCTCTGGTGCTTTCTCGCCTTAACGTAAAATATATTGTCCCACCGGTCCATTTCTCTCTCTCTGTATACATAAAAGTAAATCCTACTACAGCTTTTAGTAATGTACCGCGAAAGGTATGCCGAAAAAGAAAACAGGAAGCCAACTTTAAGCGGCACATGTGTGCCGTAAATTGATTTTTATATTTATAATAGATATTGCGATTGCTCGGGCGCTTCTTACATTTACGTCGATAAACACTCTATACTGGAAAGAATCAAAATATTTTGCATAATTCTGTCTAAAACCAAAAAGAAAAACCGAGCTGTTGGTCATATTTCATATCAAAAATGACGTTATTATTTATGTTGAAAAATTGTACAACCGCGTAGACTGATAAACGTAATACGCGAGACATGTATTAAATGTTAGATAGTAATTGCGCGCCGACGACGAGTCACCTTCGTCACATCGTCGCGAGAGACAATTTTAACAAAAAATAACACATGTACGTCAGAAATGCGCAACGACGCATCGCTCTAATCGTACGATGATGTAGCTTTAGAGATCGTTTCTTATTTTGCCGACGACGGCCCGTCCGAGAAATTGTTTGTATCGAAAAATACATGAGCTATACGGACGAGCCTCCGCGAGTCAAGTGAATGGATAGTTGCATGATGGTTGCGAAATGGTGACCGCTTAAATATAATGTAAATTGTAAGAATGCGCGCGAGTGCGAGGCTCGTGCGACTGCTGCCGGCTAGAGAGCCAGAAATAGCATAGCAAGCAGCCGGTTAATGGAAGGAAAGAGACGTCGGAAGAGCCTATATAAGAACGGAGATAAATTCAAGGTTTAGCGGATATTTTTTGCCTCTGCAAATGAGAATGAATCTCTTCCTCGGTCCGATCGCAGTCGCGGGAGGGGGGGG